TTTTTGCCAAATATCGTAATCATAATTAACACGATAATATCCTGTATATAACGCACAAATTTTATTATTAAATATGCAACAGTATGTAAAATCTTATTTACTTCAAATATAAAAGCATAACATATTTATTGAATTATATTTACCAATTTGTTGTATATTGATAATGATCCAGTCGCTACTATAAACAGGTAAATCTAAATTTGACTTTTCTAGCCATGCGTTATGTATAAGATGAGGATTCGTCTGTGTAATATAAGTTACAGGTATCGACAAATTTTCGGGACATGGTTCAACTACATATACTTTAACCTTGTTTAGGAAAGATATTCGCTGCACCTCCAACATAGGGTAGCGCTTCTGTTTTGTCCACTGAGTGAATATCGTTTTTACGTCGATATGTTCTGTATAATTAGATCCTACACTCATTAAATTGTTTTGTATGACAGCAAAAAACTGTTCGAGAGGAGTAGTCCAAGTAATGACAGATTTAAACTTGCTAAATTTATAAAATTTAAACATTAAAAGCAGATTGCATTATAAATATATATAAAATGGCTACTCAATTTATTCATTTTGGTTTCTATGCATTTTTTAATTATAATATCCATTATTACATCTGATTAAAACAAATAATTATTATATTACAGTTGGTACTTACTCTTTTATATAATCGGCGATACTTGTACAAAGCATATCTTTAGGTAGCATTTTATCCAATAATCGTACAAAGACAGGCGCTACAACAATTATAATCTCTATTATAAAAAGAGTTGAAATATGGTTTAATTACGGTTTGAAATTTTAAAATGTTATTAATTTGGTAGAAATGTGTAAAATTTAAATTATTAGTACACATACGTATTTTTTATCTTACTAAAAAGTGTTTCATAACTAATAAACATATGTTCATAATTTTGTAATATAATCAAAAAGAGAATTCACATGAAAACTAACATCGAAAACCTAGAATAAAATTTTTCACACAAAGCCTTGTTTTCGAAAAAAGTGATCTTAAATATTCGCAGAATACAAATTTAATTAATAAGTTAGAAATTAAAACATTAGAATGTCTTAGATGGTTTTTATAAAAGTTTACTTCAAAGGGCAGAATTATGTATTCGACATAACAGACAACAATTGCAACAATTTATAAAGCAATAAGATTCATGTATGTAAATATCTAGTTTTTATTTTATAGTTTGATTGACCGGTACACAATAATAAAAATAAACATAAGGAAAAATATAAGAATTCACAGTGTAGATCCATCAAGTTGAAACATAATTAAGAGTACATGTACTGCGAGTATAATCGATTCGTTGGAAAACAAAGCCTCAATATGAAAAAATCTTATTCTTATGTTTGGTATATCTGTACGCATAGAATCATCTCTTTCTCGATTGTACAATAAGTTCAAGAATTTCATACAAAGAAATTATTAATAAATATAATTATAATTTATTTTGCATATATTTTTCATTTTTATATTTAAATTTTTCCTGTGAACAATTATTTAACTACATCTTCTTTTTCTTACCTTTAATATAATGAGTAATAGAAAAAATTGAATCAATGTCAGATGATGTATCAGTTTCATGTATGAGAGACATATTATAATAATCATTCAAACGGAGAGACTCATGTTGAAATTTTACAACAAATAAATCCATCAAATGGGGATATACTGTTAAAAAGCGCTAGAAGTGATAAAAATTGAATGTAACTAAATTGTTCTTCAACCGCAATGCATAATGATGTACATTATTCACATTTATTGAATATAAATGTTTTAGTATTAT